AGTAAGAGATGGAGGATGTAAAATCCAGCTCTCGGGCTTCATCTGCTGATTCCAGAAGAACCTGTGTAGTGCAGAGCAATCTGGTCTTCTGTTCAAAGATACACATCTCTTGGTTTTCTAGGCAACTGCTTCACCCCACAGCCACTACTGGGTGGTAATTCTCTGGGCCAAAAGGTGCTCACCACTTGCCAGTCACAGAAAAACAGGAATGCCAAGGACTATAGTGAGGAGAGAGAAATGGGCTGCGGTGAAGGAAGCGGGTGAACAGGTGGCTTTAGAACGAGTTCTCAGTGGAGTGGACCAGAGATGCCACCTGGTAAAATTGTTAGGGGTAAGGCAGGCCCAGAGAGCAGATCATTCACACAAAGGAAGAGAAGTTCTCTTTAGTAAGATTCTGTCAAGTGAGAACATTTTATAAATTCACTTGTGCCCTAGGCTGGTGTAATCGAGTCCCAAATGTCAGGAAGACTCAGAACCAAGTCAGAGACCAGAAAACGGCAGCCTCATAAACAGATCTGCGCTTCCTAGAACCTTCTCGGTGTGGGGAAAACTGTGTCTCATGACCAAAAAATCTCCCTGTTAAGATTTATCATTATGTGCAAGCTGGTTACCCAGCACAGGATTTGATGGTCCGAAGCGACTCCTACATAAGGCAGCTGGCCCTGCTCATCACCCCTGTGGAAATAACCCCTGCTCAGGCCAACCTTTCTTTGGCTTGTACAACCTATGGGAGGCTCTGCCAAGAGGACCCTCCGCGGACTCCTTGGAGAAGGTGGCAGAACTGCCTGGTGGTAAGTAGGGAAAATGCAGCTTCAGACAAAACGTGGAACCCTGAGCATCTGACTGCAGAGTCCACGGTGTTCAGAAACACATACTTTCAGACGCCACTACTACTGGGTTCTCTGCCAGTGTCAGACTGGCTTTACAGGGGCCATGGACTCTGGAGAGAAGGCACTGGGGTAGGGAGAGTGGGAGCAGAGAGCTGGTGTGAAACATCTGTTAGCAAGACAAGCCATGCCGAAGAGGAAAATAAGAGTCAAAAACATTTTGAAGATGCTTCAGAAGGTTAAGAAACTCTCAGAACCAGTAAATGGAAAAAGTTAAAAGTATTAAAGAAAATTTGATAACCTGCTTCTATTTCTATGAAATATTAATAGGTACTTTTTTTTAAATGTCACAATCCAAACACTTCATTATTCAGTACAAACTTCTACGAAGTGTTATTACTGTGCTAATTTTAAGTAGTTTTTGTTTAGTAGATGTTTGCCAGCTCACTCCAGCCTTTATGTTGAAGGCTTCATGATATTGGCAACATTTGCTGATTCTTAATTCATTTCCTATCTCCTGTGAGCAACTTTCACGTTTTCTTTTTTTTTTAATTTTTACTGCCTCTTTAAAAACTAAATTTGCTGTCCCTACCCTCCAGTCCCTGCAAGTTTATGAGACACCCAGAAACTATCTAGTTAACCTGATTTAATTAAAATCAGATTCTGCAATCCGGGTATTAAATAAACTACAAGGCAGATCTTGTGAACGAAATTTTTATTTACACGCTGTATCTAGAAGCAGATACATAAATTCTTATACAATTAATTTCCAAAAATGTGCAAGAAATTACTATAATTTGTTTACAAACCAAAACACATATTAAAATCAATGGACTTTGGATAATTCATTCTGTGGTGTTCTCAGTACAAATGGTACACACCTGATTTGAAACATACAGAAAAAGTGTAAACTACAGCAATCTGGATTGCAAGTATTAATTTCATGGCACTCCCAACAACTAGAAAATGTCTTTAACCCAACATGTGTACTTATTACAAAATTCTATAAGAATTTCTCATCATCTCTGGATGTAGAGTTTGGATCACTTTTCAGAAACAGCAACTACACATTCACCATGTTATGACTGATTAATAAAAAATGTTTATTTAAAAAAAAACCCTTAATAGGATTTTAAGGAGTATTAAAAGAAATCAAATTTGTGATTACTAGCGTACCAATACTTTATTTTGGAATTTTAAACTTATCTATGGAACTGGCAATTTAAATTAGAGTTTTCAACAAAACTGTCTATTGCTGGTAGTGTGATTTTCATTTTCAAATTAAGACTTCACAGTCGATGAACGGCCATTAAGATTTAATATATACTATTTTGAATCACTCATGTAGATCCTCTCTCGTATAGACTGTGAAATGTCCACGGCAATCGGCGTCTATGAAAGCACTGTGAAGATATTTAGACTTGTAGCACTAGCAGGGGCACTGCATAGTGCCTATTTAAGATTTTTAATTTTATCCTGTTTCAATAATACTGGCTCAGAAATTATGATGTAGACTTTACGTTTATGTCCTATACACCGACGATTTAACCTTCTGGCACACAATCTTCTTCAAGGCAAGATGGTTGCCCTTGTAACTGGTTTCCTTAAAAACTATTTTTAGGTCTATGATCATTTCCTGTGATATATTTTTGACCTTCTAGATTTTCAGATTATTGCACCAAGTAGAAAGAGAACAGTTTTCCTTAGAAAGAGAAAGAGTGAAATATTTTTCAAGTACTTTCTATGCTTTCTTATTATTTATAAAAGCGCATAAAAGTGTTAGGAAGCCTAGAATTAGCTTCTGGCCTCCACTGTATTTTGTGGTGAGATATCTGGTTAAGAAAACAAGTCTGATTCATTGACTGTGGCAAAAGGACACAGCTTTGCTGTTTTCTCTTTCTTGCCTGGAGCTCCTATCTTCACAGGTTGTATCCATGTCATCTAAACTGCCATTCAGGATGACCCAGAAATTTACACAAACGGCATCTAGACCAAACAACGGGATGCAGATTTCTCTTTTCCCCTTTCCATTTTTAAACAGACTATTTTGGTACCCATAAAGCCAATCTTTCACATTATCTTGTGCTGCCTACGCCAAACAGCTCTCTCTACACAAAAGCAGAAAATACTGCAATACTCCCTTGTTTGTAAATAATTTCTTGGCGAATGTTTTTATTTTTCTCGATATTTTTCTGTTAGACCCTAGCAATTTCAAACTGGCTTAGAATAGGGCATTTTAAAGTATCTTATGTCATGAATACACAAAAAGCACATAAAAAAAACTGGCTTTCTGAATCAGAACGGCATCTAGACTTGCCCTCCATCAAACATAAAATATGATTTTAAGAATGATCAGATGACAATGGAAATAATCTTGAAACGAAATAGCTAAATCTTGAAGACATGGTATCATGAGGAACACGTGGGGAACAGGGTATGCCCACACGAGAAGACGGGGTTCAGGGCAGTCCAAAGACCTCTGTGCACCATGGTCTCACAAAGAGTACATGTAAATGCTTCTAGAAACATGGAGAAGCCATGTCAACATTTATTATTAATACACAGTGACTCTGTGACAACACCTGCCATCTAATATAGATGCACAGGGACTTTTAACTCACCCTAGATATACTTTAAATTGTTTAAAAATAAATAGTTTTGCAAAAAAATAGTTTAAATGTCTTGCATTAATTTGATAAGTTTACAACTCTGTAATAGTTCTTAATCCAAATAGCTTATAGTGAACACTTAAATTATATTATTACAGTATACTCCATCTTGTTAGGTGAAAACATCAGAAAATGTAAGAGGAGTCTTTGTGACAAGGTACAGTCAACATTCCACCAACAGTAAGTACCTCTTCCCCTCTATGTCAAAACACCATAACATGGTATCATTGTGCCTTTTCTTGGTATTTCTCAGTTCTGACCCTAAAAAACAGAGAGGAAAAAACAAAACAAAACAAAACAGGGATACTGAATGAGAAAGCCATTAAGGTTGACCTAAGACCTTTACTCTTGTTTTTTTAATTGATGGGTAAGAGACAGGAAAACTGAGTGACAAAGAAGAAAAGTCTTAAATTGCATGTTTCATCTGAGATGGAAACATTCTCTAGACGGGGTACTTCCAAAATACTCACTAAAGAATAGTGTAGCGAATAAACACTGAGTTTCAAAAATAACAAAAGTACTGGGAATAACACACAACCCCTACCCCAACCCAAGCGACTGAATCAGAGATAAAATAACTAACGTGGTAAGACTCAGCTAAATTTAAAAGAGTATAAAAAAAAAAAAACACAAAAAAAAATTAGTTTTAAATGGCAGTATATGGTAGGCGACAAGACTTCCATATACCTGATATGGTTTTAACATTCTTCTCACACGATGCTCCACAGTTTCCACAGTTTTTCAACTAAAGTCATCGGGTTTTTTGGTTTTTGGTGGAGAGAAGGAAGAAGGGTCAAATCTAGCATATCGTAATAGTGACTACATAAAAGAATAAAAATCCGGCTCTAAAACAATGTTTTCTATTCAAATCAATTTAAAACTTTATATAAACTTAAATGTTGCAAGAGAACCCACTCTTTTTATGAAAATCAGTTCTACGTCAAGTTCACCCAAAGAAAATGTTGGCTAAGCTAAAAAAATCACAGAAAAAAACACTTTACCAAAGGAAAGTATAATTAATACACAAAAAAATTATCATCACAGGAAACTAAGATCATCTAGTATTTCTTCAATAATAGTTCTAGTCCCATAGGTCTTTTTATGTTATGCCAATTTGTACCAGAGCTTAATGACAGAAAAGGCAACACTTTCTATGTTGGTGGTATACACTTCTTTATGATTTTTTAATGTAAGGCCATTTATTAAAACAGACAAACCACACGATGAAAATGAAGGCAACAGAAAAATTTCACTTTTCACAACCAAAAAACAGCACAGCCTCAAAAGCAATTTAGAGTAAGTATTGTAAAAGATGTGTTGCAGATCTACATTCTAATACCCAAGATTATGTCAAATCATAATTCTAAATAAATCTTTCTAAAGTAGGAGATTAAAAATCATTTTCAGTGTATGTGTAAATCCTGCATTTTATCACACGGGTATGTTTATTCAACACTATCTTTGAAAATGGGCCATTTAAAGAGACATAACAATACTCATTCTGTAAGTTTCATTCAACTTTACTTAGGGTTGAATACACATGAAATGTGCTTTTAATGCATAAAAATCACAGTGGATAGCAGCAAAGGACTTTGGGGGGGGGGGTTAAGGAGAATCTGATCATTCACATTGTGATTATTCTGCACATTGATGAAAGAGAATTCACACTTCCAAAACCTCAAGACTTCCCTTTTTGAAGAACCAAAATAAACCCAAGACACCTTGCTGACGCTTCCCCACCCCTAACTAAACAAAGTGATTACTTTTACACATAAAACTGAAATAGTATGGCAGCAAAAGATTTTGATAACAATGAAAGTTTGTAAACTGTATTTCAATCTCTTTTCCTTATTCCCAAAGTGCAAGATGCGGGGGTTCTCATCATCTTTCAGTAGTGCTTCTCCTGTAAGTAATCCTTCATTTTGTTTGGCAAAGGCAGTTTCTGAATTAAGTCTATCCTGGTGTACTGACGTATAACGAAACGACACAGGTACTGCAAAGAGCGCACCTGCATGAACCGTGACACTGGGTTGGTCAGTCTGACCGGGTAGGTTGCAGATCCAGGCAACCGAGACCTTGAATAGCAAAAAGCTCCATTTTCAGAGTCCCTGATTGAATGCTCGATTAGATCAACTATAGATGTATGTCCTTCCACATCTGGTTGTTCATAAAAGCTAAATCTACCGTTTGAGTGTTCGATTCTCGTGTGAAGTGTTTTGCCATGGGAGCGAAAGCTCAAGCTTAAAAGGTAACGGTCGTCAGAACTATCCCGAACAAGAAAAGAGCCATCTGGCACATTTGCTAGCTTCCCTTCCGCCTCCCAGCGTGTGATTGGTCCCCAGTACCATCCTTGCTTCGCCAGTTTTTTCAGCTCCTCCGTAAGGCTGGTCACAACCATGGGACCACTACTCTGGACCGAGTCATAAACTCTTGCAACCCCAGGGGCAGAGTTAGGATCAAAATTCAAATGACAGCGCATACTTTCCGCCACGTGGGCATCTGTGCCGGTGAGCCCACCGAAGTGCCTTTGGATTGGATTGGTCTGCATTGGAGGTAGCAACGGTGAGAGTGGGGGGGCTTCGTCGTGACTCGCTCTCGGGCTCTGCAACATGACTCCCGTGGTGCCGATCAGCAAGCCGTTCACCGCCTGGTCCACGAAGATCTCCGGGGCCACCACCAGGTCCTGGTCTCCCTGATTCTCGTCTTCGGCGAAGGAGCTCCCTCCCACTTGCGGAGGGACCGCGGACACTTCCATGGGAGAAGAGCTGTCCAGACAATAGCTACGCGATCCTTCCAGAGGGTACATGCCCTCATCTAAAGGCACAGTATACTGAATGTAGTCCTGAGGCAGGAGTCCGATAACTACAGGCACATGTTCATCAAGGTGAAGATGCAAGTCCCCGTTCGGAGACTCTGAACTCTTGAGGGAACTACTCTGCTCCTGGCACACGGTCTCAGACTGGAGCTCGTGAAAGTCCTTCCGAACGCCATTCAGGGCTGGGCTCGGGCTGGAAGAGTGAACCAAGGCTTTGACTCTCACCTCCATCTTGATGCACGTCTCCTCGGAGTTCGTGGGCCGCAGAGGCCACGGCGTAGGGCTGTAGTGATGGTTGCGCAGCGAAGTGGACCTGATGGGCCTCTGGGCTCTCACGTCTTTGAAGACCAGGGGCGCCGAGGAAGAGGAAAAGGTGTCCTCGTCAGCCGAGCTCCCGGAGGGCACGCCGCCCTTGCCTTTCTGCTTCTGTTTCACAGACAGCCGTCGTTTTAACGTCCCCATCAGGCTTTCGCTTTTGGATCGACTTTTCCCCCCTTTTTCATCTTCACTGTTGAGATCGCAGCTGGCCATATCTTTACCATAGCAGCTTCCAAACAAGGAATCATCTTTTCCGAAATCACTGGCCAGTGAAGGTTGCTGCACCACCATGAAATCCGTCTCTTCTTTACTTTTATTCAAGTTGAACGATTTTCGGAAGGTTTTAAGACTAATTTTCTTCATTATGACTAGTTACCTAATCCAAGGGGATCAATTTCTCTCCGGAATATTATCCTCAAACATCTGGAGAGGCTGCAATGCTGCATCTATGTATTTTTCCAGCTTCATAGACACTTTGGAGCCATTTTCTAAAAAATAAAAAATAAAATTAAAAAAAGTCACATTTAAAAAGAATCTTTCCACAGAAATTTTATTCTACTGTTCCAATCCTTTAGCCTGCGCACAAGGACACGGGGGTTCCCTGGCGGTGGCCACGTGCGCTCACGGTCCCCGCGGCCCCGGCCCCGCCTCTCAGAATGCTGCTCAGGCAAACCCTCACCTTCCTCTTCTCCCGCCGCACCTGGCTGTGAACTGGACTCAGTGCTCGCGCCTTCGCCGACGCCGCCCCGTGAGGCCCACACTCGGCCCCCGCAGGGACCCAGATCTGCACAGTCCACACTCCCCAGCCTGCGCTCAGCTCCAGGCCGCCACCCGCAACAGCCCACGTGGTAAAGACGATGCCGAATCTGACCGGCAGGAGTCGGCCCGATTCCTCAGCAATCTATACACGCTTTCAAATATGGAAGCATCTGTAAAAATACATAAAAAGAATCTCATGATCTGCAACGATCTGGAAAAGGTCTAGAAATGCCCCTTTAGAACACCTGTGTGTTTCCGAGAGGGCCCTTTCACGCTCACGTTCCCAGTGCCTTGCGTGGAGGAGACTCCAAATGCTTGCAGCCTGGGACGTGTGCAACCCGGGTCACACCCATGAAAAACGAGACATGTGTCAGTGTGGATCTATTTTGAAGACTATGAAGCACATTTCCAGAATTAGTATTTCTTCCTCTCTTTTTTATTTTTTGTAATTTCACCTGGCAAATTTTTATACCTCTGCATCCAAGAATATATTTTCTAAACTATCTTGCACATCATTCCATCACTGAAGATAGGATTTCAATTCTGTAAAGACTTTCTGAATGTCATTTTATAGGGAAAAATTTTGGCCCCCAAAGTAATATTGGTAACAGTAATAACTGCTTTACAAAGACATTCTGTTTCAACTAGGCAGGATGCTTTATTTCCTCTATGTCCCTGCTCTGCAGTTTCTGCAACCATCAAAGTATACTGCTGTCGCAAGATGATTAGCTTGACTTGAGCAAAATGCTAATAAAACTAACAGCAAAATTCCAGTCTCCCCACCCGCCAGTTTACCGCCACTCTGTTTCCTGGCAAAGGACTACAGGCTCTAAGCTTGATGACGTTCATTACTTCCCTATGCATTTTCTAAGTCCCTGCTACATACCCAACACTGTATGGTCATATGCAGATTAATAAATTGGTTGTGGCCTCATAACCCAGTCGCAGATAGAGAGATTTATCAATGGGTAAATTATAATACAAATCTATTAGTAATATACTGATGAGGATATGGTGGGAACTGAGGGAGAGGTATCTTATAAAGGTTTACTTTATAGATAGAAAGGACTTGGTTACTATGTACACAGAATCTGCAGGAAATAATTTTTAATAAAAACCATTCAGATCAGACAACCTATCAGGGGATTAGCAATATCATCTCCATAAAGAAAAAAGCAATTTTAAAATCTTACTGTCATGTACTGTGTTTTTGAGCAAGTTGTAAAAAATAAAATGCATGTAAGCACTTGGGAGTACCAGTCACTTTTGAACATTATATTAAGCTGTGCATTAGAGGAACTCGTTATCCAGGTACCCTTACTTTCTACCTAATATCTAAGTTATTAACATTTTTAACTTGTTTGACAAAAATATGGCCATTTCATAAATGTGAATAGAAAATATAAGGACAATATACTTTAGCTGGCAAGTCCCTCCTGTTGAGTAAAGTACAGGTTTTGTAGCCAAAGACAGATTCCAATATCAAATCTCTTTTGACAAGAATAACAGTCCATGCACTTGGCTGTGACAGGTAACATCTGTAAATGTAAAACCACTGTGTAGTGGAATTAAGATATTTTGCTGATATGTGATTACGATGAATTACAACCTACCATTAGAAAGAGGCCAATATGAAACGTTAGTAAAATAAGCTGTTCATTTGGGAATAACAGTACATATAAAATTATGGTAAAATTTTAAAATGTCACCAAGTAAGAAAAAAGATCAACAGAAAGGAGACAGTAATCCTACTCATCACGGAAACAAATAAATAGTAAATAAAAATGAACCAGGTGGCTTTTTGGTAAGAAGTCAGTATAATGTGTTTGCATGACATGAGCCCAATCCATGGGCTCTGCAGATGGGCAAGCCCTGGACCCTGACCACAGAACCCCCCACCCTGATCATGGAACCCCCCACCGACCACAGAATCCCACACCCCAACAACAGACTACATGGCTACCCCCAAAGTTGTCAACCAGGGACTTAGTATCACTTAGCACACTTAGCGTCTACATACTACTTCCACATCCACTAGCCTTTCTACAGAAATATTTTAGGAAGGCAAAAAAAGTATCTTCGTGAAAATCTGTACGTTGCATGTTCACACTCCTTCATAAGAGTAAGAAATTTTAAAGATGCCTGAAAATCAGTTTGAAATTCTGTTGCAACTAAATACTATTCCAGAGTAACATAAAATAGTTTTGCCTTATTATATACGTGCATACCATGGACATCTCTGCAAACAGAAAAACACTACCACACAGAAGCAGGCTCACACGTACATGGAAACTTGACACTCAAAAGAAGGCAAACCAGAGGTAAAGGACACGGCTCAGGCCGTGGTACTAAGATAACTGGCTATACATCCGGAAAAATGAGAAAACTGGATTCCATACCTCATACCATCAATGAAGATAAATTGAAGTAAATTAAAAATCTAATAGTGAAAATCTCAGTTTACTTGGAATAAAATATAAAATATCTTTAAGCCTTTGAGATAGGAATAAAATTTAAGCACAGCATGAAAAGTTCAAAAGATACCACAGAGGGATGGGGATCTGTCAAATTCTTTTGCAAGCTAAGGAAAAGAGGACGGCCCTAGAATACCAAATGTCCCGTGAACTTCTCCTGAATCAGAGAGAACTTTCAAGTACAATTCTTCATGGTGTTTGAAACTGCATTTATTTGTCTTAACAGGCTGCAATGGCGACCTGAAGACTAATGAAGCCTCCTGTGCCAGCGGTGATTTTCTGGCTCACTAGCAACGAACCTAATTTTGTTCATACAAGAACTGGGCATCAATTCACACAGAGACTAAGAAAACTTAATCACCAACAGCTGTAAAGTATAAAATGAAAGGATGCAAATACAAGACAAAAATTATTCAGCTCCAGTAACAGGGACATTTGCAGTCATTACTGAAAATCAGCAAATTCTTGACGAACGACATCAATAATTAACACCCAGAAGGACTTCTAACCATCAGTCTGCAGGGTGACCCCAACCCTCTCAAACCCAAGCACATAAGTCACCATGAAGCCTGACCCAGAGGGTCAACCCCATCCAACTTTCTAGGAATGGTGTAAACCGTTAGTGTCGATCTTAATTACGAAGGCTTTTGTTTTCCTGCCTCTGTGCCTGTTTATGTTACTCCCTCCTCCTGCTAAATGTTTCTTTTTCCATAATCCACCTTTCAGATAATTCCTTGAGTGAATATTCTTCCTGAAATCTGCTCTGATCACCCAGCCAGAAGAGAGTTCTCTCCCCCCGTCTCTGAACTCCAAATACTCCATCTGCACTTACTCAATAGTATGTCACATAGTGCCCTAGAACTGCTTGTGTCCTATTCATACCGTATCTCCCCAAACAGATTGTAGTCCTTGAAGAGAAAGACCATGTCTTACTCATTCTTCTATTCCTAACCAGGAGGTACCATTAAATATTTAACATATACTGCTTCAATTCTTTGATACCAAATAAATATTCCTTCACTATGAAGTAAACATAGGAATGATGGGCCAGGAAAACCACACGGTGCAAAATGGGCTAAATCTCTTATCAAAATGGAGCAATCTAACTTCTATAAAAAGCCCTTATTATAAATGACACAGGAGCGGCAATTCCATCTAAAAAGGCCACACGGAGGGGTGCCCGGGTGGCTCAGTCAGTTGAGCGTCTGACTTCACCTCAGGTCATGATCTCATGGTTCGTGGGTTTGAGCCCCGCGTCGGGCTCTGTGCTGACGGCTAGCTAGGATCCTAGAGCCTGTTTCAGATTCTGTGTCTCTCTCTCTCTCTGACCCTTCCCTGTTCTCTCTCCCTCTCTCAGAAATAAATAAAACATTAAAAAAAAAGGGGGGGGGCCACATGGAAAAACACCTGCCTATGAGTTAACAAGCTCTATCATACAGAACCTATTCCCATACTTTCACATGGTATGCATGTATGGTATGTATGGTATGTAAAGGCTGCTGAAATTCTACCAAATAAATACTAATAAAGAGAAATAAATATATTAAATACTGCCCTCCCCCAATTACTCAGTTCCACATATTTTAAAAAAATTTTTTCATGTCTATTTATTCTTTTTTTTTTTTTTTTTTTTTTTAAAAATATTTTTATTTATTTCTAGGAGAGAGAGAGAGAGAGACAGCGTGAGCAGGGGAGGGTCAGAGAGAGAGGGAGTCACAGACCGCGAGATCATGACCTAAGTGAAAGTCGGACGCTTAACCGACTAAGCCACCCAGGCGCCCCAATGTCTATTTATTCTTTGAGAGACAGACAGACAGACAAAGCACAAGCAGGGGAGGGGCAGAGAGGGAGACACAGAATCCAAAGCAGCTCCAGGCCCTGAGTTGTCAGCACAGAGCCTGACGTGGGGCTCAAACCCACAATCCGTGAGATCATGACCTGAGCTGAGGTCGGACACTTAACCAACTGAGCCACCCAGGAGCCCCTAGTTGCAGAAGTATTCTAAAAATAAAATATGTTTTGATCTTGAAAAGCTGAAGATGAGTGAAAAGCAGAGTGCCCATGGCATTACCTACTTATGGATTATGCTATCATCAGGAAACAAAGTTATACTAAGTATGTGACTCTTAAGTAGGTACTACAGGCTGTGCTTTCTGCTGTAAGCTATTTCTCCTAAAGCTCTGCATGGTCCTTTCCCCACTCCATGTGTGAGGTCCTCTACTGACTGGATCAGGGGCACCTGGTGGCTCAGTCGGTGGAATGTCCTAAATCCTGATTTCGGCTCAGGCCATGATCTCAGGGTCTTGGGATGGAGCCCGGTGTCTGGCTCCATGGTGAGCATGGAGCCTGCTTGAGGTTCTCTCTCCCACTCTGCCCCTCTCCCCACACAAGCACATGCATGCATTCTCTGAAATTAAAAAAAAAAAAAAAAAGGTACTCTACTAGATCCAAGAGAAGTTATGCTGTTTGGGGCACCTGGGTGGCTCAGTCAGTTAAGTATCCAACTGCAGCTCAGGTCATGATCTTGCAGTTCAGAAGTTCCAGCCCCACATCGGGCCTTGCGCTGACAGCTCAGAGCCTGGAGCCTGCTTCAGACTTTAGGTGTCTCTCTCTCTCTACCTCTCCCTTCCACTCTCTCTCAAAAATAAACACTAAAAAATTTTTAAAAAAAATTGTTACACTGTTTGATACAAAAC